CAATCGGGCCAATTCTACCGACACCTGCAAGACCCGCATTTCATTCAAGACCTACAATCTCTCCTCCATTTCCTACGAGACAACATAGCCCTTCAAGAACAACGTTCCATTCTGGACAACAAAGACCTCATATCCATTCACAATCACAACAACCATACTTTGATGAAGCCAAATATCTTCAAGAAAACTATCACACAATTACAACAGATCAAATAGATTCGTCAAAACAAACAATACTCTCAAATAAACAACAGTCATTTAATGTTGGATCAAAACCAAGCGCAAATCCCATTATTTTTAACGAGCAAAATCGTCCGCAGCAGCTTATTCCATATAATCAACAGTTGCCACAGCAACGCCCGCAACAACATTTTGATTCAAACAAACAAAGCTTTGGGGTAACTCCTACGAGATCACCTTTCTTTAATTTAAAACCATCTCCACCTCAATTAGAAGCAAACCGACCTTTCCAACGTCAACCTCAACAACAATTTAGTTTTCATCAAGGACCCCAGACACTACGCCCTTCAGCACAAGGCCCTTCAATTGAAAATACGCACAATCAAAACGTTTTTACCAGTCAAAATGCCATTTCTCCTTCGCCGTCACCATTACCTCAAGCTCAATTTTTACCACAACCGTCATCACCTCCGCTATTTAGCTTCCATCCACAGCCTTCGCCAACACCACAACAAGTTTTACCTTCGGAAGGATCCCAGGGCCATCAAATTGCGCATGAACCAAATGTTGCTCAATTTATACCAAGAGACAGTGAATTGGTTCCAGCTATATCTAAATATGAACAGCACATAACTGTTAATGAACCTACAGGACAAACAAATTATAACAATGGATTTAGTGGATTTAACCAACCACCACCCACTCCAAATTACCAACAACAATACGTAACAAATTCACAACAACAAGACCAACAACAACAATATCAACGTCAGCATGATCAACAGGAACTTCGTCAACAACATGAACAAAGAGACGAGCTGAGACAGCAGCACCAACGCCAACAACAATTGCAGCAGCAGAATCATGATCAACAGGAACTTCGTCAACAACATGAACAAAGAGAAGAGCTGAGACAGCAGCACCAACGCCAACAACAATTGCAGCAGCAGAATCATGAGCAGCAACAGCAACAACAACGTCACCAACACCAACAGCAACAGCAACACCAACAACAACAACACCAGCAACAAGAACAAGTACAAAATCAGCAATATTTAAATTCTGAACAGGAACAAGTAAGACAACAATTGGCTTTTAACGTACGTAAACAACAAGAAGAGATCCAACGTCTTCAAAATCAACTCATAGTACAACAACAAAACTTGCAACAGCAACAAAGAAATCAGTATTCTCAACAGCAAAATAGTTCGCCATCACCACAATACGTCGATGAAAGATCTCGTCCCCAGGCAAATTACGTAACAAGTACCGCCGCACCACAATATTATCAAACAAGTGCGAGAACAGTAGAAATTAAACCAACTACACAGAGGTACGTTTCCTCAACTAATAGTCCAACACCTGAACCTAAAAAAGAGAAGAAAAAACCCACTATAGAACTTCCAGATGAAGTTCCTGACGATCTACGTCAACAACTGCTATCTTCGGGCATTTTGGATAATGCTGATATCAGTGTCCTTGACTACGATAAAGTTGGTGAAACACCTTTAGAGTCCTTACCGCCAGATCAACTTGCAAATTTCTTTAGCGCAGGAGGAGGGCAGCAAATAGCCGCAAGCGAAAACAGGCCAATTGTAGTGGCACCAAATGGAGATCGAATTGAATCAAGAATAGATGATTCCGTTGATGACGATGATCAAGATATATCAGCATCAGAAAACGTTGAAAGTGTAGTCGCCCCGCCTTCTCAGAATGTTGAAATGAAAGTGGTCCACTTCAATCCTGATACTGCGGAAGGTCAAAAGGTTGCTAAAGATTACGTCAAAGAAGATGCAACCCAAGTAGATCCAGTTGCATTAAATGATAAGAAATATAATAAATACTTACCACTAAAAGTAAATGGCAATCAATTTCCTCTACCAGATATTGTAAAAGGAAGAAAGGTGACTTCAGTTGTAGTTCTCGCGCCAGTTCAAACAGAGGCAATTAGTAACGACCATCGTAGATCAGAACGTGCTGCAGGAGACAGTCTGAGGGGTTTAAAGTTTGTGGCTGGAGATAGTCTTCACAATCTGTTGAAGAAACCTACAAAAGATAACTTTCAGAAATGGTTTGACGTTGAAAAGAAAACTGAGACGGATCAGCAATCGGTTGTTCTCCTAGTAACCGAGTAAGTATTGTTTATTTAGTCCAGATTTAATAACGCCTGCTTTGAAATAATATGTCTTCGTAATGTTGTATTAGTAAATTAAAATTGTATTTGTATATACCCTTTTTCTCATCCCTTTGCCCGTTGATTGTATTAACAACATTTTTTACACGTATTTTTAAACTGATATTAATAATATCTAAAAATCAATACATATTTAATGTAACGCATAAAGACAGGTTATTTGAATATTGTTTTGTTTACACAAAATAGATATTCATTTGTTCATTCCTATTAATTTTACAGGAGCGAAAACCCACAAGAAGATAAAGAAATATTCATGTACGATATTTCTTCAGGCACCGTTAATAAATTAAGCGGGGATTTATCCAACGCTTTTGTTGAAGCGGCGGAAAACAATTCTCTCAGCAAAGACATTGAGCAGCTTGCCATCGAAGGAGAAGGAACACCAGAGAACTTCAAAAAAGATACAGAATTAGCCGCAGAGGGGTCAGAAAACGTGCCATTATTTGTAGATATATCGGGATTAAGTTTAGACCAAAAGGCCGGCCAAGTCTCCATCAGTTCAGGATACAGTAAAACAAAGAAAGGAAGACATTTGAGAAGACGAATTTAACGAATCGCACGCGGCGACTGATTTATTTTGTAAATAGTTTAGGTTTAGTACTAAATTATGAAGGAGTGATGTTTTGTACTTAGTTGCAACTTTTTAATAAAAGTGATAATCAAGTTGTATTATATTAAAACAATATGATAAATGTGGATTTCTTTAATAAACTCCTTATAGTGTATATATATATATATACATATACATATCAAATTAAAGAATATATTTGATTAGTCAATGAAACGTTATATAATTATGTACTTAAACTAAATGGCAAAGTTAATTACTAATACTAAAATATCTTGAGTTTCATTAAGTATAAAACTCAATCGTAAATTGTACAAAAAATACTTTTAGCTATTTGTATGAAAACATTTCTTTTAAAAAATTATAAAAACTTTAATATAATTAAAACAATGCAATTTTTTTCAAGAATTATAATTATTATTAGCATTATGATTTTGTCAAACTCAAGGGCTAGAAACATTGAATACAATATAAATCCGCTACGAGCTACAGTCTACATAGAGCTTGTATATAATTATCCATGAATAACCTAAAACTCTGAAAACAGAATAAGTATTTAGAAAAGAAATGCCGTATCTTCGTAGATAGAGTATAAAACAAGATGAGCTTCTAAAATAACAATAACTAAAGAGAGAAGGCATTAACGTGAAATACTTAAGTGCGAGCGAAACAGAGTATCAGTTTTTCTGTCTCTATTTGCGTATCGGGTTTTATTTGTTTACCACCGAGCCCTTGGTGGTAAACAAGTTTTCACCGCTTACTGATAAATCTGTGAAACCCAAGTCAAACCCATATTTTAAGACTTTATCCTTATAAGAGGTGTATTTAAAGTGTCAGTCATTGTGAATTGTTGCATAATTGGCTGTAAAAGCTATAGTGAACGTAAAGAACCAAACATAACCTTTCATCGGTAAGTAGCTTATTTTGTCACGACTCAGTAACTTTGTTCAAGAATTGTTCATTCGAATGTGTATTTTGGTCAATAATAAGCAATCTTCAATGAATTAAAACTGTAAATACGACATTATGTCGATCATTCGCTATCTCACACGCTGTACGCTGATACCTGGTCTATACCATAGTCCGTCTAAGAATATCTTGCTCTCTATGAACTATGAATTGGTTAATATTTTACACCTTTCTTTACACTATTTTTATAAACCTTTCATAATCAGAGTCACAAATATAATGATCAGAAACATCCCCCTCTACCACCTAAAATTATCGTATATTGATCATATACGATAAATTATCGTACAGTCAGGAAAATGGCTAAAAATACTTTAAAAAATCATGAAACGTGAAAATAAAATGTTGCAAACGATTTATAGTTTAAATCTTGTAAACTTGTGTTTTTCAAATTGAAAAAAATGATAATAATTCAATCTCTTCCGTCAAAGAGGAACAAAAATACGCAATATTTTCTCGTTGAACAAGGTGTTCGCTCTAATGATATACCTATTGTCCGTAAAACGCATATTATTTTTATCACTTAAAATTCGTTAGGTATTAAAATGTTATCGAAGACTTCCAAATCTGCGTCACCATACAAATCGTGAATTTTTTGGCGTGCATTCTTATTTCTTATGCGTTTTTGTGTTTGTACATTAACGCTTTGTTCATCTGCTGTAGTTGCCTTGTGACAGCATAAGTTCCTAATAGAAAAATAAGCCAATAGATGGCACTGACACTAAAAACTGTAATTTTTATTGGGCTATCTTGTAATCATCAAATTTTTTATCAGACTGGAAATTATCGTACAATCTGCTAGATAGTCATTACCATCGTACATCGTACGTAGTTATGAAATTATCGCAAATGTACGATAATTATCGTACGGTTGTGAACCCTGATCAGAAACCAGCATTTATTGACATCTGTCATCCTCAAAATATCAAACGTCTTCCTTGAAAAAAGTAATATCAACGTCAAATCAACTATCAAGTGTCAAATTTATTTTGTAGTTGAGCTGGTGACCCGGTGAAATATTTGTTTCAGTGTAAATTCTTCGTATTTATTTTTGATGAGTTATTTAAGTTTATTTTTGTGATAATCATGATGGAGGGTTCATTAAGCAAATGGACAAATGTTATGAAGGGGTGGCAGTATCGCTGGTTCGTCCTCGATGAAAATGCTGGTCTCCTATCCTATTATACGGTAAGTGACGTTTGTATTATCTTTTTGTGACGATTATTTCGGCTTCTAAGTTCTAGATCTTGACTTAAGGATTTCGAGCCAAGAGGTTCCTAATTTATTTACGAATGAAAATCTCTTGAAAGTTTGATTAATAATACCCGGACCGATAAATATTTTCAAAGCCAAAGCTTATTGGCTTTTATTAGAGCACCCAAAGCAAGAACAATGTACATCTTGAGCAACTCCCGCCCAATTTACTTGAAATTTCTTAATAGTTAAATTTTTATTATTGGTTAAGCATTTTTCACTTAATTAATGACAACATAAAAATACATAGAAATCTAAATAATAACATATATTAATTTTATAAACTAAACTAACTATGTAACAAAAATTAATTCTATACTTTTAAAATATGTACTTTCCTTGGGGTATATTTTTTCTTTTAAATCCAACACTTACTACTCCACATGGTTTTTATTTTTATAATTTTTTTGGAAGAACTTATAAAACATATAATACACAAATATTACATTTGGAAAATACATAACTGTTATACCAAGTGGAGCTGGGCAACTCGGCAAGAATACTTGAGCACTATAAACTATCATGATTGTAAATTGTACCTGCAATAAATAAGTCAGTCATCAAACGGACATCTACATCGTGTGAATTTATTCAAAAAAATCCTTGTTAATAAATAATATGAAGATTTCATGGTATAAATATACAACATATACATTGAAACTTGTTTTTATTGATTAGCTTTTGCCTGCTCACTTGCTTCACAGGGCCTAACTTTTAGTAACGGTATCTCTCCTAATTATACGTAGATAACATTCATGATGAACTATTTTTAGTTATTGTTAACTATTTTTAGTTATATTTCTATATAGTGTGGTAAAGATTGTAAAAGCAGTAGAAATACTTACCATTTGCATGATCGTAATCCATTTTTTATACCTAATAAGATAAGCCTTAATTTTAGGGCTTCCTTCCGATGAAAGCAAATAGTAGGTGTACATAATCACATGAACGGAATTGTTTATCATTGGTGAAAATGATGTTATACCACCTAAAAATTTATAAAATATTAGCATTTTTCTGTAAAAGATGAGAATTATAGCTTTTATAACAGCTCTTTTTAAATTATTTTCAAATATGTACTATGTTTTCCTCAGGAATTTGGCTCTTAGAAATACTAAAAAAACTCTTACTTTATCATTGTATTGTATCTCAAATTAATTAGTAAGAAAAAAATATAGAGCCAGATGAGATGATATATATATATATATATTGTATGTAGAAAAACTGCAATATTTTCCCACACAAAATAACTTAATATTACACTGCTTCTTCAGTTAGATCAAAATCGAATGTATATTAAAGAGTTAAGTATGATAACATATTCATATTAATTTCATCTTTATGATCGTTAACTTACGTAAAGACCGGCAAATAACATCTTTTATGGCCTGTAACGCGATAAAAATAGCGTTAATATGAAATCTGTTGAACAGTTATGACTTCAATTTGACGTAGGTAAATGTAGGGAACATTAAAAAATAATCATGGTATCTGTTGATAGAAATGAAAGAGTAATTTTCTGACCCAATTTACCAAACATAAAAACTTCTATAGATGCTCTTTATATTACACGAAAAGGTCATGGCTAATTCTAATTTTGATTTGGATCGTTACACCGAATCTGTGTTTAAAACATTAGCAAACTTGTTTGTGGATTTATCTTATTTAGAAGACGTTGTATAACTGACTTATATAATATATATGGAATCGATAACAGATACAATAATATTATAAGTTTGTATATCAATTTTATATGATCGTAAAATCCCCTTAATACTAAGCTTATTTATCTTTCAATAAACATCATAATCTACACCGGTCCTGTCCTTTGTAGATATATAATTTAAATAGTATGTATACATATGCATATATTAATCACAGTCCGCTGTGTTCCGGGTTTGAGGGTTTTAGGGAGCGTTCAAGTAGCCCAATAGTAAAACGTTTCGTGACCACCCAGTGACTCTTTATATCTAAAAGTTACCATTATGTGGTGTAATGTACTGAAAAGTCGAAAATAATATTAACAATAACGCGTAATTTAATCCTCGCCCTGCATCGTAACATTTTAGAAAAGGGGAAAAAAATTCGTTACGTAATACTTGAACGCCCCCTAAACACAAAAATTTTCTTCAAAGTGATCGCAATATTAGGAAAATACGTAAGAACAGTTTAACAATGATAATATTTAAATAAAGTTTAACGGATATAAACGCGGCTTTATTGCATTTTTATCTAAAAAAGAGGTATATAACAATTTTATTAATTGTTGCTTGTATCGTATTACGAGTGACACAGACAGAGTACAACACAGAAGACAAAAAAATATCATAAAATATGTCAGCATCTTCCCAGCTTGTCCTTTGTTTAGGTAGCTACTCCCTTACACTATCCAGTTACAAAGTATTTTGTTTCCCTCAAGCCGACTAACTAACAAGGTTTTATTTATGAATATCCGCTTTGGAAAGAAATGGCCTATTACAGATTTGTGTAAATATAGTTCTGACTGAAACCAACTGAAAACATCTAGTTGAAGCGATTATACGCCTTTCACAAACGGTTACGATTTACTTATACAGCACGTTTCGTCATATATTACAGAACGCTACACTTGCTTCAGGCCTGACGTCAGTGTTTAACTTGCCTATTGTACTGTGAATAAACAATACTTTAATGCTGATGACTTGCTTGTTTTAAGTTATATGCTGATTAACACAATTGTCGACTGGTCGTTTGATTTAATTTAGATGTGGTAGGTTTCCAAAAATGTTTTGTCTCGTTTTTATATTTGCTATTAAACAGAAACGCAAAACGTTACCTTATTAAGGCTAATACAGGAATTATTTATAGAAAGCTTCTCTGATATGGAAGGAATAAAAGGAATCTGATGATGTTATCAGTTATATTATGTAGGAACTAAGAACAGTGTAGACTGACACGCTGAAGGAGCTGTGCATTTTCTAGCGTTATAGGGAGTCGGCCTTATGAGGAAAGAAGTTGTTATGGATTACAAGGAAAACCAACCTTGGAAAATTTCGACCTAAATTGAAATTGGAACTGTTACAGTCTGCATTCATGATTTGTCTGCGTCATGCTTTATCTGTATAAACACGTATTAATAAGCAATTTATTTAAAAGATTTTCATCGGTTTAACGTTATTAAAGTTTAATCAATAAAACAGGCTTTATAAATTAGCCTTGTTCTATTTAAAACTGCTCAACGAGTATAATAATTTGTTTTGCGTGAAATTGCTTTTTAGCTGTTTCATTTATGAGTTACGAGCATTGCTTTAATTGAACTGGATATAAAGTTACGTCTTTTGGTAACACCCGGGATTTTTTTATCTCAAGTCGTTTTTCTGGGAGTAATTTTATCCATCGCAATGATGACTTCATCCCTCTTATACCCAGAAAAGACTATCTTTAACTCGGAGATAAGAGAGTTCTACTGAAATTGAACATCATAATAAGTGGTATATAAAATTAAACCGACCAAGTGATATGGAAAAAATGAGGATTGTACCTGTACTGGTCATCGGGTGCTTTAAATAATCGAGGAATTTATTTTACTCTATATGAACTCGCGTACAACAATAGAATATAAGCAAAATTATGAAATGTTAATTGCTATGAAATTAATGTCTGCAATTAGGCCAGTCATTATAGACATTCGAAATCGAAAATTTGATAATAATTCCAAAAGTTTTCAAACTTCGGTCAAGTGAATGGTACATTGGGACGACAATAAATCTCATTTTGCAACCTTGTCCGCAGTCCGGAACATTGTTAAAATTGCAATTAAATTAATTTTTGCTGTATGGTCGTGAAAAAAATTCCAAAAGTTCTGCAAACTTGGGGAAGTTTTCGATATAATATTTCATATCACGTATAAAATTTGCAACCAACCTAAGTGTACGGAACATTTTTTGTTATTTATTTTATTTTCGATATATCTGTCAAATTTGCAGAACTTTTGGAACGTTTTCCTTCAGTTTAATAAAGAAAAACATTAATTTTTAATAACAAAAAATGTTCCGTACACTTAGGTTGGTTGCAAATTTTATACGTGATATGAAATATTATATCGAAAACTTCCCCAAGTTTGCAAAACTTTTGGAATTTTTTTCACGACCAAAACTTATTTTTAACAATGTTCCGGACCGCAGAGAAGGTTGCAAAATTTTATAGTTTGTTTTAATACCACTACCGACCTTACATCAAAATTTGAAAACTTTTGGAATTATTATGAATTAATTGTCTTGACTGACTGGTCTAAATGTAACTTGAAGAGAGAGCCTGCGTCTGGCTATACTCTCGGGGCGTAACTCCGACGATTCAGGAAATCGCCACGCTTATTAAACTAAGAAAGCCTGAATGAGCAAAATGTACAGGCTTGGCTCGTACAGTACCTATGATATACACGTATACATCCGAAATCCGAAAAAAAACTCAAAAACTACTGGACCGATCTCGATAAAGATTGGAATATTCCCTAAGTTGGTTATACAACATTAAAATTAAATTTGTGGATCAACTCCTAATTTAGAATACATATTAAACTTCATAAAGTGCAGGATCGGGTGAACGAAATTATATATGTACCTTGAAATAAATGCAACCAATTTGTTTTAGTCAAATTTGGCATACATTTCAATAAAAAAGTAATTTATCTATCACAGTTATCAACTTTTAATCAAATTCAGTCCTGATGTTTTATTAACAAACATATTATATTAATGTGATAACTTTTGTCTAATATCTAGGCTTATTTTGATTGTTGTCGAAAATTTACAATCAAAGTAAATTCAAGAAAAGAAAGAACATTTTCTTGACTGAAGCACATACATATGTACATATAAAAAGAAATAGAAACATAATCACGATGTCATGTGGAACATGGTGCATTGGTTGCAGCTCCTTACAAACATTTTGTAAAACAAAAAACTTGGCGATTAAAAAGAGTGGCGGAGAGTTTATTGCCAGTTCTTCTCGTCCATTCTACGCCCTTGATTTGAGAACTGGCAATAAATGCAAAATTAGAAGCATTTAATATGTACGTTTTATATGTGTATGTTTTTATATTGTGTTACCAAAATGAATAAATGATTTTGAAATTTTGTTACATTGCGTGGTTCGACTCAACTCAAAATACGTTGAAATATTTAGACTTACCTCCAACATATTTTACTCCTGACCAAATAATAATGAGTGTACTGATGTGGTGGTATATATGCAGAAAGGATGCTTGACGTTCCTTCCTCCTAAGAATAAAAAACACCGTCTCCAGTAACTCTGCAATCTTAAGGAAAATGGTGCACCAAAGGTAATGCAGCATTCTTAAAGCTTCAGGGTTCATGGAATAGTCGGGTAACATACACCCAAAGTGGTATGTCGTGGTCCAGCCTGATGTCATTATCTGAAAAGGTTTAAAGGGCTGGATATGAATAAAAAAAGCAAGGCAAAACAATTAGTAAAAATAATATATAATCCCGTGGCGTTACAACCCTATATGAGTTGCATCCGTTTCTATGATCATTTTTATTTTATAGACAAATAGGTTGTAACTGTTTTTGTTAAACAATTAGTAACATACGCTAATGTATATTTCCATCTCCTTGGTTAACGCGGTGTATAATCCAATATTTAGTCCAGGAGAAACAATTGTTTCTGCTGGTAGGTATAGAAAGTATTAAAATCCAGGTAATATTGTTAAAATGTTGGTTTGTTGTTGATTAATAATAATAATCAGTGGCGCTACAACCTATTTAGGTCTGGGCCTCAGATTTCTGTATCTGTTTCATGATCATTTGTGAATCAAATAGGCAAGTAGGTGATCAGCCTCACGCACGCCGTCGACTTTTTGGGTCTAAGGGAAGCCGGTTTTCTCACGATGTTTTCCTTCACCGTTCGAGCGAACGTTAAATGCGCACATAGAAAGAAAGTCCATTGGTGCACAGCCGAGGATCGAACCTACGACCTCAGGGATGAGAGTCGCACGCTAAAGCCACTAGGCCAACGCTGCTCTGTTGTTGATTAATACTTCATGATTTACAATATCAGTTCTGAAGCATATCTTAATACCTAGAACCCGATTTTAGTAAAAAAGTACAAAGTTATTACATTGGTCCTTGTGTAGGTAATAAATTTGTATTTCACCGTTTTGTTATTTGACATACTTCCAACGTTTAAAAATAAAAACATTTATCGTAAAATGTAACAACCGTCATCTTTTGAAACGTTACATTGCGAAAGCCTTAATTGCAATTATCTCATCATCTTGAGCTTAAAGCCTTTAGGCGAGTTCACTGAATCGAGAAAATTATCTTCACGATTTTATGTTTGAAATATTCTCATTTCATTATCAAGATAACGTTGCATTCGATTTATGATAAATAATAATAATCTAAAAATAAAATATGAATTTCGATTTCGAAGCTAAATTAATCGAAGTGACGCTGTGAAGGCAACTTTTATTGAGACATTTTTTTTATCTGAATAAGGGACACGTTGAAACACTAATAAATACTATTGTTAGACTTAACTCTCAATAATGAAGTCGTGCGTACAGACACACAGTATACATATACTGCGCTAGTAGACATTTATATGTACGCAATTCACATATGCTCAGGAAAACACCATGAAGAAACCTGCATGCCATGTGATGTTAAGCGATACCGCCGCCCATGGCCACTCACACTGCCAAGCGCGCTGCCGGCCTTTTAAGAATTGGTACGCTCTTTTCTTGAAGGACCCAAAGTAAAATTGGTTCGGAAATACTATAATACAATGGGCAGCTGGTTCCACATAGTAGTGGAGCGCGGCAAAAATTGCCTTAAGAAACGCTAATTTGTGGTACGGCGGACGTCGAGGTGATACGGATGGTATTTTGTATTCTGCCTTGACGTCCGATGATGAAATCGCTTACATATATTGTATAGAAATTAGTCTTCTAGCATGGGTTTGGCTTCCATCAGACAAAACAACATCACGTTTATACTAACCAAGCAGTTTATATAAAATCTGTATTTAGTGTTTTGACACATTTCTATGTCTATTTTAATCCTATTCTCGGAAAGAAATATTAATTGGGTTAATTTTTAACGCTAAAAAGTCTTGCGTTTTGGCTAAAAGAGGATATTGTATACTTACCCCCCAAGTAGCAACTGCATTTCCGATTATTTGCACCACATTATACCACTTAATAACAGTTCTAAGATTGAAAGCATCTCTGTTTGTCATGTATTTCGGTAAAAGCACTTTTATAATTGTCAAGTAAGTGCAGATTATGAGAAATAGTGGCCATGGAGATGTCATTAAGAACCAGTCCTTGACTCGAGCGTCTGAAAAGGAAATCTTAGAAATTGACACCTATTGTATTTAAAATATTTCATGAAAGCCTCTTTGTGTAATCAGTCAAAAGCTTATCCAACTCTCAGATTTATATAAATACGACTAAATATAAGTGTCCTTGACCGCGGCATTTGTAATTTATTGCCATTAATTTCCTTTCATGGGAAGTAATTAAATGAAACGTAAATATTTGTATATTTTTGGGTATTTTGAGAGAGAAAAATAGTCGTCGGAGAGTGCGAGACTCCACTCATTTTAGCTTAATTTAATCTAATTTGTTTACACCATTTATACTATAAAAACACGCTTTATTTTATTGTTTTCCCTAGATTTATATGGTCGTGGTGTGGTACCGTGGTGGTATGGTGGCGTTTATAATTGAAATGATTCTACGAAATTCCATTGGCGCTACAACCTTTTAAGTCTGGGCTTGAGATATCTGTATCTGCTTCGTGATTTTATTTTTTTAAAAGACCAGTAGTTGGTCAGCCTTCTGTGCCTGACACACGCCGTCAACCTAGTCGTCAACCAAGTCGAGCGTGAACTTAGAAAGTCCATTGGTGCACAGCCGAGGATCGACCTCAGGGATGTGAGTCGCACGCTGAAACTACTAGGCCAACACTGCTCCCATAGTACCCATTATAAGAGTAATCACGCACACACACAAGATATAAGTGATACATTAAAGTTCTGAAATTGCCTTTGGGTTTTTAGTGGTGTGAATTGTTTTAAATTTATTTGATATAAATTTGGCAACTATCCACAAAAGCTCTTAATAACATTTTCAACAGTAAATGTACTTTCAAGGGAACATTTTTCTTCTCTTTATCTCAGCTTTCTTGGTATTTTACTTAATACAATTAATAGTCGAAGCTTAACTACGTTCCTCTCCACGTGAATGCGTTTGATTGACTTATCGACGATTCGATTAGTGGAGTTTCGTATCGTGACTGCAACAATGGCATTACGGGTCATTGCACAAGCACTTCTGGTAGTGACAATGAAGTAATCACATCTTGGATAGCTACGAGCTTAAATGTCATTGCTTATGGCGGTGTCCATGCGTCGGGTTGTCTCTCTCCCTAAAATAAGGGGCCGATGGCTGGCCATGCGTCATACTCGTGAACGGGTGCTACTTGTGGTGACTGGTCGTACTTGAATTGGTGTATGCGGTGATGTTAGTTATTTCGACTATGTATTTGCGTGTTGTTCCCACAAGAATGTAAGTGCGTGCTCCTATTTTACCATGCCTCCTGCTAATAGAGGACAAATCTTTGTTTTTAATTTATTTTATTATTATTTAATACTTAAGATGTCATGTGGAACATGGTGTAATGGTTGCAGCTCCTTACAAACGTTGTGTAAAACAAAAACTTGGTGATTAAAAAGAGTGGCGGAGAGTTTATTGCCAGTTCTTCTCTGACGTTCCACGTCCTTGATTTGAGAACTGGCGGTAAATGTAAAATTAGAAGCATTTAATTTTTTTTTTTACGAAGTGTACATTGTGTTATAAATGATTTTGAATTTGAAAATGGCTTCGCTATCTTTCTATATTTTTATCGGTTCTTTTTTTATATTTTCTCTTCGTTTTGACATTATTTTACACGTTGGTAAAATGTTCTGTTTGTGTGGCATTTAATGGTGTCGATGCAAATCTCAGGTCTAGGTCACACTTGTCCGTTGTAATCTTGGATATTTAAGTATTTGTTATTTATTTTGGAAAGAAATTGCGATATATTTCACCTGTCAAATATTAAACAGTTGTATAAATATTTCAATGATTTGACATTTCTTAATGTTCTTTATTCATGAGCTACTAAACTTCAATTTTTATCATCATCACGTTACACGAGAGCGAGAATTACCATTATTTTTTCATCTTTTTCAAATATAGAGAGCAGAGTTAGTCTAGTTACGTGTGACTCTCATCTCTTAGTACGTAAGACACGTTTGATCCCCGACGTATAAACGCGATGGTGAAGGAAAACGTCGTGACGAAAGCGGCATACCTTAGATCCACAAAGTCTACGGCGTGTGTCTGGCACAGAAGACTGACCACTAACTATTAGATTGACAAATGATCATATTGACAAAAACAGGTACAGAGATCTAAAGCGGGCCATAGACGGACCGCATGTTGCAGTCAAGACCGACTGCAACATGCGGTTTGCTCAGGAACTGCTCGAGCGGTCCGTGTATTGCGAATATGAATTTAGTATGGAAACTGCAGATCGCCGTGCGGCGACCGCTTAGAGCAGTCGGTATCGGCTGCAACATGCGGTCGGTCTATGGCCCGCTTAAGGCCCAGACCTAAATAAAGCTTGTAGAGCCACTGCTTTTTTTAAATGTAAAATATAGCTATATTTCAAGAGAGGCAAATAATTATATCGCTTAGTTAGTTTAAAAAGAAATCTAAGTCAACCTAAGAAAATTCTAGGAATAGCTACATTTAATTAAAGTGATTTATGTATTACCTGCTCTTTCAAAGAACAATGCGTTATAGGCTCCCGTGATGGCGTCCATTGTGTAACACTAAACTGACCGATAGCCCGCCCTTATCGTTGAATATTGATCACATATGCAGATTGTAAGCCTATGTGCCCACATCCAGCGAGTTGAGACTCCAATTACCGCCGAATATGTTGATCAGAGGGCATGAATCGTGTCTTGGTTTACATAGTACTTGTGTGAACTTTCCACCACGTCGCAAAGTCGCCAAGTTATATGCCAAGTGTGGCAAACAATTGTTATTCTATAAATCAAATACATAATGAAGTTATAAGAAGAAGGCCATCTGGAAAGGGTTGGAGGAGGTTTTTACCCAAGAGGGGTCCATATCCACAGGCGACTAACATTTCGCTATAAGTAAATATTAACAATACTACTAACAACATTTGAAATGCGCGTAAGCGCATCTGTCAACGTCAGACATCAGGTTGACATTTAGCTGTCAAAGTCAGCCTAGCGAAGCGTCTTCCTGACCCCTTCATGTAAATTAAGGATATGGAAATAAATAACAACAAAAATACAAACAATAATAAACAAAAACTTTAAGTCCGTCATCTTAAATCTGTAAACAGTTATAGTCATTAGCAGATGACCGGTAAATATCTAAGTTAAAAAAAAACGTGTGTGTACTTCGGTACACGCGTTAGAAGTTATACTTGTTAGGCGTAACAAGAAAAAATCTTTTCAAATTTTTTATTCTACGTTTGTAGAAAAAACTACTCTAACAATAGAAAAAACTAAAATGTTGACTATAGCTTAACTTCAGGGTGTCGGTTTTTTGTGACGCGCATCGTAAAAATTTACTTTCATCATTTTTCCCTAACGCGCCAAAAGAAGTAGGTATAACTTCAAAAATGCTTTGTCTTTCAATGCCTTATGTTCCTTAAAATCAGTCGTCAAAAATAATAGACGACTCTGAGTATAGTGTTATCCGTGCCGTATATTATTAAACGATATTTCAAATACACAATGTGTTATGTCTTAACTTGTTACAAATGCATTATGTATTTTAATATATTCAGGCGACCTTATGTAGTATAAGTATTGAATGTTCCTTAATATATTGATTCGTGTGTTCGTATCATTAAAATTTTACTTCTTTTACTTTACTAGATTACAAAGTAAAAGTAAAATTATTTAATGATTTTTACTTAAGCATAATTTTCAATACTTGTTATGTAAAAACTTCAGGGTTGATATGAGGTTGTAGTATATATTCATTAGGCCGTTGAAGCACCGTACAACATAGGTCATAGGTCAGACGGGCGTTTACGGTTCTTTCGCTGTTTTGTTCGTTTTTAAAAGAAAATACGCGATGAGCCTTCTGTTCCTACCGTTTTTGAAATTAAAGTTCTTTAGGCATGAGGGTAAAATTTTTATGGATGAAACGCAATAATAATCATATTAGCGTCACGAAGATGTGCAGCGTCTTTGTCGAAGAAAAGGGAGAGAGCGATTGAGACCGATTGAGAGAGAGTGAGAAGAGCGAATTACCTTATAGAAATTCTATTTTTAAAATTTAAAATTTCGTTAAGAGAATTTATTAAATCTAAGTAATTTATATTTTATTCAAAATCATTTCTTGAAATCTCAAATTACGAATTGTAAATTAAAATGCCACGTATTTCTAATTTCTATTATCGAAGAAATAAATTTAAAAAAAATATAATTTGTATTAATTTTCGACACTTAATATTAGGTCCTTACATATGAAATTGGCGTATTTCGTACTGGCCACTTTAATCACGATGTTCTCCTCTTTGATAAGGAATTCCAATTTCTACAGCTATTTACTCATGTATTTGTGCTTCGATGACCGTCATTCATTTGTTTTTTCTGTTTGCGTCACTCATTTTACAAAATGGAAAACTTAAAGTATCGCATTATTTACGAGTACGAGTTCCGCCGTGGCACTAGTGCTGCGGAAACGACTCGAAGGGTGAATGATGTGTATGGCGGTCATTTTGCAAAAGAAAACACAGTTCGTTTTTGGTTCCAACGTTTTCGTTCTGGAAATTTCGACCTGCAGAACAAGCCCCGTGGACGGCCTGAGACCCAAGTTGATAATGAAGTATTGAAGGCTATTGTGGAAGCGGATCCATCGCAAACCACGTCCGAGTTAGCTGCAGGCTGCGGTGTTAGTGATAAAACTGTTTTAATTTACTTGAAGCAAATTGGGAAGATTAAAAAGCTTGAAAGATGGGTACCTCACGAATTGACTGAAGCAAACCGGCAAACGCGTGTCGACTGCTGCGTTACATTACTGAACCGGCACAATAATGAAGGTATTTTAAACCGAATTATTACCTGTGATGAAAAATGGATTCTTTACGATAATCGGAAGCGCTCAGCGCAATGGTTGGATCCTGGCCAGCCAGCCAAATCCTGCCCCAAGCGAAAATTAACCCCAAAAAAGTTACTTGTAAGCGTTTGGTGGACTAGTGCCGGTATTGTTCATTGCAGTTTTCTCAAATCTGGCCAGACTATTACGGCTGATGTCTATTGTCAGCAATTGCAAACCATGATGGAAAAGCTAGCGGCTAAACAACCTAGGCTGGTCATTCGCTCCACGCCACTGCTACTTCACGATAACGCTAGACCACACACTGCACAACAGACGGCTACCAAATTAGAAGAGCTTCAATTGGAATGTCTAAGACATCCTCCGTACTCCCCGGACCTTGCTCCAACAGATTACCATTTTTTTCGAAATTTGGTCAACTTCTTGCAAGGGAAAAAATTTAACTCTGATGGGGCAGTCCAAATCGCCTTCACAGATTTTATTGATTCCCGTCCGACTGAGACCTATGAGATGGCAAAAGTGCATAGAAAACAATGGTTCATACTTTGATTAATGAAATATATTATATTTAAAAATATTCGACTTTTTGTTCCTCCCATACAAAACGCCAATTTCATATGTAAGGACCTAATATTAGATATCTCAAAAATGTTTGCTGTACAATCCCTCGCAAAGGTGTGACTAAGGGTAATGAGTGGTGTTCACGCCCAGCTAATACAGAACGGTACGGGCCCACGGGGTCGGTTATGTTGCCCTTGGTGAGGGCCTGGAGCTCTAGTTTCGGGTTTATATGTCTCAGTAATTTTAATGTTTTAATATATATATTCCAGTCGAAAGAGAAAATGACACGTGGAGTGCGACGCGGCTGCGTGCGTCTGCGAGCTGCCGTCATTGGGATTGATGATGAAGACGATTCCACATTCACCATCACCGTTGATCACAAGACCTTCCATTTTCAGGTAATTTTTTTTAAACTTAATATATTATATAGTTTATTGAAATTTATATGTAGTATATAAACTCAAATTATTTTATTTAGTATATTAGTTATCTTTATTCATATAGGTAAACAAGTACATTTATGAATCGTCAAAAAGAAGTTAAATTAATTGTAAATTTACATTTACTACCAGTTCGCAAGTCAAGGGCGTAGAGCGGGTAAGTATAGTTCTGATATGGGGCAATGGGTTGAGCATCTCTGTGTCTGCTCATCATTGAAGATTACCTAACGAAAAATGGTTTCAATATCGAACCCAACAGGATTATAAATGTACTTTAACCTCTAGGCCACTAAGACTTTATACATACATGTATATAGCAATTTCTAATAGGTTATCAACTACCTGTGCCTGACACACACCGTCGACTTTTTGGGTCTAACGCATGCGTCACGATGCTTTCCTTCACCGTACGAGGCAGTGTTAAATTGTTGCACAGCCGGGGCTCGAACGTACGACCCCACCACCACTAGGCCACTGCTTGTATAGATAATTATATACGTAGCAATTACTTCAGGAAACCCCCCGCGAAGAATAAACAAAACAATTTTAATGCATCGTGACGGATTTTTGATGAAGGAAGGAATGTGGGCGGTCATTTTTTGACCCCACACAAGGTAATGAGTCCACTTTCTCTCGAATATCCGTGATCAGTGCACGTGTATAGATGATATGGGTTGTAAAAGGTCGAAGGTTGCCCAGGTTGTAAGTTTAAACAGAACGCCGTAAATTAAAGGCATAAAGAAATTTCAGATATAAAAACATTACATTTTAACTACGTTTCTCGAGTGAGTCTCGCTGTCTACGACTGTATGACTTAAAGTATGTTATAATAACGCGCGTATAACTTTTATTATAATGTAGAGTCGGAAAGAGAACCCTCGTGGGATTGGAGGCCGCAGTGTTAAATTATCTTCATTGCTATGTTGGCAACACTGGTACGGCATTTAACTTCATTTTGATAAAATTAAAAACATTATTTTTGTGAACATCACGGGGACGCAATAAGAATTATATTATTATTATTTATAGTTCGGCACAGACTCTATAAGTGTTAGCAAATCGGAGACAATATCGCATAAAGAAATCATCTCTATGATATTCTAATATTTAATTCCATGAGTAATTTTGAAATCGTGCGGAGTGTGTTAAACTGAATTATGTAGAAAACTTCGTTAGCTAATATCTTTCATAATACTGCATTCGATCTCTATGAGAATTTCTAGATAAAAATGTCATAAGGCTTTATTTCCGTCGAGGTTCTGCGACTTTTTCCGCTCGAACGAAGCCTGCTTCCGAGATTTCGATCTCTTTGATCATCCGATCTCCTTTCAAGGGGTAGGAAATTAAAGAACTTTTTTAATATTCCTGATACTACTTTACTTAAACCAGTACTCCCTTACACATAAAAAACTTTATTGTACTCTCTTTTAAGTAGTGTATTCCTTCGTCACGATTTCTCAAATTGTGGTTATACAGTGCTGAAAGAGATGTATAGACTTCAGTTTCAATTTGTGAATAGGCATCTATGGTTCGTTACTTATTACGAGTGTTGAAACTAGTTTGATCTTCCTTTGTTTTTGCTACGCCTCATCTATATGAGGAGGGCTGTATATTTATTGATATTATATTCAATGTGTTGATTTTCGCATGATTAATAAGCTTCACGTCCACCCAAAGCTTTTATCCTAAGTGTCACCCTACTTTGTTGATATACTACATAACCAAAACATGATTTTGTACAATTCATGATTTCGAAGATCATTGAAGTGATTTTGCTTCAAATATATAAACACCATTCATTTATCTGACCTCACTAAATGATCTGGCCGATGAGTTGGTTGTTTTCTAAACCTGCTATCGAATAATTAGCCGCATTAATGAATTTAGCTACAGGTGAAGTTGACTGTGCTGTATTACTTAGTAACTTGTGTCTCCATGTGTATAATAGGACGCTAAAACATATGCACCAACATCAATTACAGAGGGAACAGCTTTATGATTAGAGCGACGGGTAATTTTAATAATTAAACTGTTGATATTGACCCGTACGCCTCAAGTGCGGTGTCGGCAAGGAGTTCCTCAGTGGAATAAATAGTGTATTATATGTAAGTGTAGAAGTTATACTACCCTAAGTGTTGTTCAACTATTTTTAGTTTATTGCTTTCTTTAATACACAAAGATAGTTGGATATAATGTTTTTATTGATCATAGTATTGTCTTTTATTGACATAACTTTCACACATTTGATAATAAAACAATTCGCGTTATTTACAGCGTGGTCCACGCTATAAATAACGCGAAACGTCGGTTAAATTTAAAATTATGAAAAATAATTGAAACTACATAACTTGAATCCGTTAAAAAATTGTTTTATTATCAAATGTTTTCATTATTACCAATCGATTGAATTATTAAGTACTTAATTATGTGTAAATATTTGTTTATTGGCGTAAAAATATTAGGTCCTTACATATGAAATTGGCGTTTTGTATGGGAGGAACAAAAAGTCGAATATTTTTAAATATAATATATTTAATTAATCAAAGTATGAACCATTGTTTTCTATGCACTTTTGCCATCTCATAGGTAGTTCATTGATCCCTTTACTAAAAAACCAGTCGGACGGGAATCAATAAAATCTGTGAAGGCGATTTGGACTGCCCCATCAGAGTTAAATTTTTTCCCTTGCAAGAAGTTGTCCAAATTTCTAAAAAAATGGTAATCTGTTGGAGCAAGGTCCGGGGAGTATGGAGGATGTCTTAGACATTCCAATTGAAGCTCTTCTAATTTGGTAGCCGTCTGTTGTGCAGTGTGTGATCTAGCGTTGTCGTGAAGTAGCAGTGGCGTGGAGCGATTGACCGCCATACACATCATTCACCCTTCGAGTCGTTTCCGCGGCACTAGTGCCACGGCGGAACTCGTACTCGTAAATAATGCGATACTTTAAGTTTTCCATTTTGTAAAATGAGTGACGCAAACAGAAAAAACAGAAGAAAAAAACAAATGAATGACGGTCATCGAAGCACAAATACATGAGTAAATAGCTCTACAAATTTGAATTTGGAATTCCTTACCAAAGAGGAGAACATCGTGATTAAAGTAGCCAGTACGAAATACGCCAATTTCATATGTAAGGACCTAATATATTATAGTATTTAGTGACTTAGATAAAAGCTGTAAATCGTTCTCAATTATTTCCTAAGTACTCTGTGTAATATTTGTTGTTCACTGCAGCAGCTGATATTAATTAGATAGCGTTGTGTGGCTTATATTTTTGTTTGCTTTGTTAATATAAGTACATTTTATCATAATGTGTGGGCTGTTTATTTATTGATAGGTCGCGGATTCGATACATTATTGTTACGGGTGCATAACAAATAATATTACCAAATTGGTTTGTCTTATTTATTTATACACTTCACAAGTATTAAATGATAATATTAACAATAAACGGGTGGCCAAATCAAACTCTACAGCACTCGTTGCCGGCCTTTCAAGTATTGGTACGTACTTTTCTTGAAGGACCCAAAGTTGAATTTGTTGGGAAATACTTCAGTGGGCAGCTGGTTCCACATAGTGGTGGTGCGCGCAAAAAATGCCTTAAAAAAACGCTCAGTTGTGGAACGACGGACATCGAGGTGATACGGGTGGTATTACGTATTCTGCCTCGACGTCCGATAATGGAATTTAAAGCCCTTCCTGAGATAGCTTCGTTCCACCAAATGCTTCAGCATTATAAAAAATATATCTATCTATCTTCTAGTATCTAGTGAAATAAAAACTGAAAGTCAAAGAGGCGACTAAAAGCATTCAGCTATTTTATAAATTTATAAATAACTAACATTTTACGTTACAGGCCCGTGATGGCTCCGAACGCGAACGCTGGGTTCGTGCGTTGGAAGACACGATAGCCCGTCACGGTCGACGCGAGCGATGGTCGCGTTGCGTTCCTGCGCCCGCACATCGACATGGCGATTTGGAACGACGTATATCTGAAGCGGACGCGTACCTACAGATTATGATCGAGCTTGTTAATGTAAGTATTAAGGTATACTGAGACGAAATATATTTATTTATTCATAAAAATAAAAACTCTATCCTTACCTAAGCCAATACGATAATGTTGAAAAAAAATGAAATATAAAATATATCTAAAGAAAACACTTTTTAACCGGATTGAAGTTATATTTTATTATAAATTTACAATTATTTTACATAATTTTAAATGTAACCGACGTTTCGCGTGCTTTACAGCGTGCGTGGTCACGGTGACTGAAGACAAAAGGTGTTGAATGTCAAAAAGTGACAGCTGTAGAAAAAGTTGAATTATCTGTATATGTTTCCCCGGAGTTGGTATCGATTAAAAGATGGAGGGTTTTGGCAGAAATGGCTCACGGTGTCCTCTCCTCTTTTCGCGGATTGGAAAGTGTTTTCTTTAAATGTGTAAAGGTTATGTTAATAAAAGACAATAAAATATATGTATCTTCTATAAAATACACAATATCGCTACTGTGATAAGCTGAGCTTAATAAAACTGATAGAACAACCGGTATAAACTTTTTTAGATTATTTTTGTTAACAGTTTAAAAAAAATTTATATTTATGCGATTTTTCATTTCTGTATATTTTGTGAGAAATTAAATGAAAAATAATATCTCATATGTATTACACTACATTAAAAACTTTTTCGTTTACAGAAGTTAAATTTCAAAGTATCAGAAATTACGGACCCTCACGAAAAGAGCAGAGGTCAAGTTGTATTGGACCACTCTAACGTAAGTTATGTTTTAATATTAACTATTAATTTATAAAATTTATTTCTTACAGTGCCATCTCCTTGCGAAGGTTGGCGATTATCATGGCTAGTTTAATTTTAGATGCCGCGCTTCTAAACAATGACCTGGTGCTTTAACCAAACCATTGTCTTAGGTTTTTCTACCAAGACGTGCGTCTGCGGCGAGGTCTTCTACCTGCCACTTTGCCTTGTATGATTCGTTGAAGGAGCTCGTATTTTTTGGTGTTACGTACGTCCGAAATACTCAACTTTCTTAACCGTCATAAGCACTTCTTTGCTCTTCTGCATTATATCCAGCACGGTTGTTATATTAAATTTATATATAAATTAAATATATTTTGTTAAGAATGCTAAATAAATTTGTTCAATGGTTATTAAAGAATATGAGAAACCTATCCCATACTATTTTTATGACGAAACCCATTCTATCGTGTAGAAACACATCTAAATACAAAATAGCTATGAGGTCGTAGGTTACAGACCCAGCTGTGCACCAATGGACTTTTTGTCTATGTGTGTATATCACACTTGCTTGTACGGTAAAGGATAACATCGTGAGGAAACTGGCATGCCTTTGACCTGAAGTCGACGCTATGTGTCAGGCACAAAAAGCTGATCACCTGCTTGCCTATTAGAAAAAACAAACGAGAAATTTGACACAGATCATTGGGTAGCGCCAATGTTTAATAAGTGGTGCCATCTATGTAATCATTATTTTATTTGTTGCAGGCTATGTTGGACAATATCAAACATTCCATAGTACTATTACAAATTGCTAAGGTAATTGTTTTCTATTTAATTATAAAAGTTATTTCTTAATCCTGTTTAATTTTAATCAATCATACAAAGTTGCTGTTTACGGTTTCAATTCAAAGTTTTTTATGTTAAGTCCTAGTCTGATTCTCAACTAAGAAAAAATAAACTTTGTTAAACATAATAAAAACGGGTGTTTAGTTAAAAGAGAAAGTGCAGCAGCTCCTACACTAGGATTCCCTGTGTAGTGGTCTAGTGTATTTTTGTGATATATTAATGATTTTAGGTACTTGATAATAATTTCTACATAACACTTACAAATTTATAATTAAAATGTTGCACATGAAGAATAATTTTCGTTTCGAATCGGTAGTGAAGATTTAATTAGGGTAAAAGCCGGATAGTTGCCTCGGACGGATACATGCCCCGGTGTTTAAAAAACTATGTTAAGATTATAAGTTGTATTGGCGCTTTACTACAATAAGTAGTGACTGCCCCTCAGGCCTAAATGCCATGTAAGCCATCGGAATACGCCCAAGTGTTTTGTCCGTGTGAGCAAAAATCTTCCGCGGCGAAACTTTGACGGGCGTTATAATTATATTGGTAAGTTATTTCTATTGAATATTTTTATTACTGATCGTGGTTTCAGTCAACTTTTTGTTTCTTTGCATGCATTAGAGTTTAAATTACACTGTTTATCATGTTTTATTGCTAAATAATTTTTATTTATTTCGCAATTAAAAAGGGCAAGTATCCGCATCAAAAAGGATAGTCGCCCTACTTACTTTCGCGGATAGTTGCCCCTAGAGTGACTAAAAATTTCTTAACAAGCAAAGACGGATTTTATTTTTTTGCTGTTTTTTGATGTTTATTCGAAATTACTTTGTCTCTAACTTGTTGTAAATTAAATAAATATCTACTTCACAGTTTTATATGTTTATTATAGATAAGCAAAATGCCTCATCAATATTAACTGGACAGAAGATAGCTTAGCACTTGCCTTCGAAAAATTGAGACAAAGTTTAGGATTAAAGCACAACTTTATTAATGAGAGTAAAATGGCTGGACCTCAATGGCTAAAAAGCTTTCTTGAAAGAAATCCTGATATAACTTTGAGACAAGCTGAGGGTTTATCAATTGAAAGAGCAAAGGATCTCAACAGAACAGAAGTTGCAAATTTTTGCAAACTCTTGACAACTATTTTAACTGAGAATAATTTGCTGGATAAGCTAGATATAATATTTAACATGGATGAAAGCGGTGTCCAACTCAATAATAAAATTGGTAAAGTATTAGCTTAGAAAGGTGCTAAAGCAGTTAAATCAGTTACATCCGATGAAAAAGGAGAAAAAATTACTGTTGTTTCTTAATATTTCAAATTGTACTTAATAAAAGATCCCAGTAAATTATAAAGACTGTTAAATAAATAATAAAGATTACTCCAAAATAAAAACGCACGAGGCAAGTATCCCCTGAAGCATTTTCTACGCTAGGCTACTATCCGCCATCGTAGGCAACTATCCCTTTTCTGAGAGGTGAAATAAAACAGTATTTATTCAAAACCATTGTTAATTATCTATACAAAAATAAGCTTTTATAGAAGATAAAAGACCTATGTTGCGAGATACATACTGAATAATTTTCAGCAAGTTCATATTTAAAAAATATATAGCTTTTTCGAAAAGTGGGGCAACTATCCGGCTTTTCCCCTATGTAGCTTTGCATTTGTATGGTACCCAGGTCAACGGGATGCTTTAAATAATGTAACAAAGAAATCAATCGTGTGAAAATAGAATTAATCAAGATTTATATAATTTAAAATAATTGAATTACAGCACATTAGTTTGGAGTTATTTAAATAAAAAGCATTTGGCGTTTACTTCATTTTGTTCCGCGAAACACTGTATCGTCCGTCTCATCGTACACGAACGTGAAAGATTTTTGCTAGCCAAATGCGCGCTTTTTAAATGCTGTAGAATTTCTAATAACTTTTACTGAGACTACAAACTCACAAAGTTTAATCTGCGCAGAATACAAAGCGTTTCTTTTCGTGTAACCTTCATGGCGCTGAGCTTCTTTACTATTGGCTTTAATATAAAGGTATTTAGATCTTAAATATTTTGGAATTTTTTAATTGAAACCGTAAAGCACAATTTAGCATTATTGTCATATATTTAAAATGCGATTTATTAGGTGCGAGCAATGTGTCGAAGGTGGTTATTACAGAGTCTGGAAGGGAACAATCGTTGGATTTTTGTCGACAAAACTACGTCATTATAGTACGACAGTTATCTTGATACTTAATATGAAGTACATCGGAATCTCTATAACTCGAATGTCAAGGGAAATGCAAAAAAATTGAGTTAGCGAGTGTCGAACTTCGAGATACGTGATTTAATTGTTGCAATTTCGACATTCAGAGGCGCAATTTCTATGTGTATTTTTTGATTTGTCCAATTTGAACAATTCAACATAAGTTTTATACGAATTACATATTAATGAAGTAAACTGTACTACTTCGACTTACGGATACTCCTTTGTGAAATTCGAGTTATAGAGTATAAATATGTATTATCAATACATCGTAGGGGAATAACATTTTGTTCGAGTTACAAAGTCTAAATGATTCGTGTATTTAGGGGTTCAGCGGAAGGGAATGGCAATTTTTTTCGACTTACTGAGAATTTCCACTGTAGTATAAAAGTTTTGGGAATAAATTACGAATGCAAATAATAATTATATAAACCGCCACGGCTGTTATCTTTCCGAATAAACTGTAAGGATTTTTTTTAAATAACCATCTTGAAAAGCCGCGTGATTGAGAGGAGATTTTTGCTTGAATAACACAAAATGACTCATCACAAAAAATACATAGATATAATCTGCATGTACAGGTTTTGGTAAAACAAACCCCGAGCTAAGAAGAATCAATAAAAATCTATAGTAATTTCTTTGTTATTTTAGAACACAGTCAATCCGGTAAACGGCGTGTATCAAGGACCAACGAACCTTTCACAATCACATATCAAAGAAGGTAATCCCTTAGTACTTAATCTAGTTACAGAATATGTCAAAAAAATGTTAGGTTGATTTAGACAGTTGACATTGTATATATCTTTCTATAACACGGGCCTTCAAGGGTGGTTCTATTCTATCTAAGGCATACTGATAAGCGTATTACAGCATTCACAAAAAAACTATTCAGTAAAATGCGAGTTTATGTTTAAATTTAACCATCAAGACCATCAGGCTGTACAGATCCTGATGAGCCGCCGCGAGTATCTTTCGCAATTCATCTTGTGCTTCTTGCGGCCAATTTCGAATACATATTCTTTTGAGGTCCTAAATCACCAACGCACTTAGGTTAGGTCTTAGGTTTTCTCTTGCCACCAGTTTCTGAGTTCAGTTCAGGCCGTCCCAACCACTTAAGCCTGTTAAATTTTATAAAAAGGATGTGACGTCGTCAAGGATTTTATAAAGCTCTGCATTGAATACGCCATACACCGTCGTCGTAAAGAGAGCCAAAAATTATTCGAAGAATCTTCCGATTAACAGGATAACGATTTATTAATAAAACTTTTTGTCCTCCAACTCACGATACTTTTTCCGACGTATGAAATACCAAATGCATCTTGCATTCACATATAAATAGTATATTTTTCTGGCAGATTTATCACCACGCGTGGAATTGGGATCAGAATGTCGTGAACTAGCCTCACCAACACTGCCACTCACACCATTGGATGCTATGGATGCGCCACGTATGTAATTTATTTTTATGTTGTCTTTGTACGTTTGAAACGTACGCAGTCTCAATTATAGAGAGTATTTAGTTATGTCGTAATGCAATGGCATGGGCTACAATTAAAGTACAGAAATAAAATACGAAGTATACTATACCCCACAGACGTTGTCCTGCATGATATTTAAAGCGATTAGGATATTAAGCAAAGTATGAAAGTACCGACTGCAGTGCCATCTGCCGCGCTGATTTGTGAATCTAAACCATTCCCAGATCCCCTTGAACACACACAAAAAAATTCATCAAAATCGGTCCAGTCGTTTGAGAGAAGTTCAGTGACATACACACTCACAGAAGAATTATATATATAAAGATATAAGTGACCTTATTAAAGAAGAAGATGCCGGTGACCAATACTATCTTTCAATTCCTTTTCTTTAACCTCTTAGGGGGATTAAAGTTAGATTTTTATGCCACGTGACACATAATTTTTTTAATTGTATGAGCCGTTTATGTTGAGAATAAAAGTTTTATTAATAAGTTTCTAGTTGCGTCAGCGATCTCTGAGATCGAAGGTTCGAATCCGGCTGTACACCGATGGACTTTTCCTATTTCGCATTTAACACTCGTTCATATGGTGAAGCAAAACCGGCATGCCGGCAGGGGGAAATTTGATTGTTAAGGGGGGTTTTCTTATTTCTTAAAATTATTTACAATTTGAATTTCAGCTGTTTATTATATGTTTTGAAAAATAACTTAATGTGTCCTATAAACCTATCATTTAACAAAAGAGTCAGTAAGAGTTTCTTAAGTGAACAATTCAATTTTTTTATATCAAAATTATTTATGTTACATTCGGGGTGAATTAGATAGGCTAAGGTGGGGAATGGCACAAAAAAGGTTAGAAGACTCTGTCTACGAAAAAGTCGACGCCGTGTGTCAGGCACAGAAGGCTCACAAAACAGAACAGAAAGCTCAGACCTAAACGTTAGCCACTGGGTTTTAAAGATTTCAAGGAACTTAAAGCATAACTGTTTTAGGGCAAGCGATGTCTCTCCTAGTACCAGACACGTCCTATTCATCTTCCGAAGGCGAAGACGACTTCTACGATGCCGACGAAGAACCGTTACCAGCCGTAGCTCCTGGTCCCAGGTTAGTGATTACTGAAAACAAATCTTCAAATAGTTTTTTAATTTGTTGTTACGAATTTAATATATAATTATTGATATAATATGTATTTCCGAACTGTTACGACATGAAGAAAAGAGCTTACTTATGCTCTCAAAGGTCGGCAACACACCCGTAAGCGCCCCGGCGTTTGATGGACGGCGGTTAGCACTTTACTTTAAGTGCTACCTAATAGTTTGCTTCCAAAAAATCATAAAGTTTTTCTGTGTAATGAAATATTTTTCTGTACATTAGAATATTGGTACCTAACAATTGTTTTATTAAATATAAAAATTATTTATTTAAATAATATCTGAAAATTAAGATAGTAAAATCTAGTACCATTGTTTTATCGCGTATCTACAATACCTTTCCATGTTTATCTATATACCCACTTCATAGATATATAGCCGTGCCCAATTTCTTCCTAGAATATTATAAATCCCGCGTAAAAATGTTGTGTTTTGTTACTCTGGTTGATAAAAGTCGATGTCGGATAAGACAAAAATATCGCTTTTAATAATAATTTGAGAATAAACAAAAATTATTATTATTAACGGCACGCAGTTGGCCTAGTGGCCTAAGCATGCTGCGTGCTACCCTCATCCCTGAGGACGTGCGTTCCATTCACTTCTGTGCACCAATAGAAATTGATTTCTATATGCATAATTAGCACTAGCTTCTAGACAAACATCGTGAGGAAACCGGGCTTGAGACAGCCCAAATATCGATGTGTCCGACACACAGGGGCGTCTATCAAATATAGATGTTAGAAGAGTCAATCTAAGGTCAAGAAGATATTCTTCTTATCAGTGCAAACGCAACATTTAATACGCCATTTCATATGAAGCGGATATTATGTTACCAAATAAAAGTTTATATTCGCTTTTGAAGCTCCAAACCTCGCGAAATACGAGCTCGTAAAAGTGCTGTGAAGGGTCGAAAACTAAGGGCGGGTACACAAGAACCTTAAAAGAAAAAAACCGTAGAGTTTTAACCTAAAAATAAAATGAAACTTAAAAAAGTTACTGTAACACAAGAAACAGTCTTGAAAAAACTTGTGTTTATTTCTAATCAGTTGGAAATTCTTGTATTATCTTTCCACCCTGATTGGTAATTCTTGTAACACTATGTAGTATTTTATCAAATTATGCGTAATAAAACATAAAACTTGAGTTTTGGCCTTTTAAACAACAAAACTTGCCTTTTTTTTTTTTTTTTTTTTTTTTTTTTAAACATGTAGGGCGCAAAACCGCTACCGCTCCTTCATCGTCACTAAAGAAAAATCTTGTGGATTTCTTCTGATTAGACGCAAATTCTTGTAACATCTTTCCACCCTGATAGGTAACAATTGTTACACTATCTAGAATTATAAGAAATATTTAATTGTAGGTACGTTGACGATTCCAAATTTGCCTCAAATCGCTGCCGCTCCTTTATCGTCACTTCCTAAAGGGTCGGTGACAGACAAGTCGGTCAAAGCCTTACTCCTCCCTTCCACTTAATATAATTGATTTTCTAACCAAAAGGATTATTTGGAGTAGCTACATTATTTTGATTATCACCATCAGCATCCCTCAAGGGAGCGTTCAAGTATTACGTCACGCAATTTTTGGAGATTATTTGACCCCCCCATGTAATGCACCGTAACGTTTTTTTTTCGTGACCACCTAGTGACTCTTTATTCCCCCCTAAATTCGTTACGTAATACTTGAACGCTCCCCAATGTATGAACGTGGTCAACTCGAAAACTACGACGCAAGCGGCAAAGATAAGAGATAAAAAAAATGGAAAGAGCACTGAACCAATTAATAAAATTATCTATTTTCAAAACTCCAGGAAGTATACATTGAGAAATTATGTTATCAATTATGTACTTATATTAGATAATAAGTTTAATAACAATTTGTAACGAGACTTACTAATTTAGGAATAATATAAGATTACAAGTAGAGTGCGTAAAACTTGATCGGTAATTACAATCAAGTTCAAGAACAGCGTGACAGGAACGCGGTAATGCTTTGATAGGGCTATCACTGACACCTTTGATTGCACAATGTGCTGATAACATGGCATTATATGTCAATTGTCAATAACTATATGACTCGATAACTCAGCCCATATGATTTTTATTATATTTATAAAAATACTAGCTGACCCGGCAAACGTTTTTTTGCCATGTATATTATTCCTAGGAATTTTCTTTTTACTTCAATTTTAAAAAATAACTATCTACAATTATAAAAAATAGGGGTTAATCGTAGAGGGGTGAAAATTAGGGGTTGTATGTATTTTTATATGCCGTATCATAAAAAAAAACAATTTTTTTTTTGGGGTAGACACCTATCACTTAGGGGTTTGAAAGATAGATAGTAGCCGATTCTCAGACTTACTAAATATGTATAAAAAAATTCATAAGAATCGGTCGAACCGTTTCGGAGGAGTATGGGTATAACATTGTGACACGAGAATTTTATATATTAGATGATCGTTCGTACTTGATTTGCAATTCTCTGAAATTAGCAGAATTTGGTCCATCGTAGGCAAAACGGCTGTATTGAATTTATGTCTAAATGCCCGAAATAGCACAGCATTGATTGCTCTAGTTATAGCTCCAGATGTCCATAGTGAAATTGGGTTTATGCTAAAATAGGAAACTGCACTTTAATACATGTTTCATGAATATAATTTCATCCGTCGTCTGTTAATGTTCCTATAGTGTGTTTTTTGTTTGTTTAACATTTGTGTTTTTGTATGTTATGTTCGTAATGTTTTCCCACAAAAACTACTGGAGCGATTTCAAAAATTTCTTGATTTTTAAGATTCACCATTGGAAAGCATCTTCACTGACTGACATAGGTTATATTATTACATTTTCAAAAATAATAGGTATCCCTAGCAAAAATGCAATAGTATAATCCAAGGTGTGAAAAAATTATCCATAAAAAATCTAATCTCGTGCGCTGAGGAAACAATTGATGATTGAACAAAAAACTGTTGTACATTTTATAACACGTATCAATATCTACAAAAATAATGTTTTACCCCGGCAATTGTATGATGGCCTATCCAGAGTCGGAACTCGAAAACATGAAATTATTTTGCTCCCACAAAACAAAACTACGTCAAATGTTGTGTATAGGGAAGTTCTAAAGCAGGGTCCACACTATGCCGCGGTAGGCCGGGCGGGTTGCGGGTGGGCTAAGCCGGGCGGGTACGTTCGGTCCGGCACGACGTCCACACTGAAAACGAAGCCAACCGGGCTATTTCTACCTACATTATTTAGTTTCAACACCAAGACTGGTGATTTAGTTGAAGAGTACTTAAAATGAACAATAAAAAGCCCTACTTAAACAAACTGAATCGAAAATAAAATAATTCGTCTACTTTGGTCGGAGGTTTAATTGTAACTGAAGCCGCTCGGGGCGCTCGGCACGTCCCCATTCTATATTTTTGTTCGGCTCGGCTCGGCTTCCTTTGATCTGTACCTACTTTATGTGGGTTGGGATCGGCACGGCCCGGGCCGGCATTTTCTAACCCGGCAAAGCTGCCCGGGGCGTCTACATCAACGCGGCTTAGGCCGCCCGGGTCAGCCCGCCCGGCCTACCCCGGCATAGTGTGGACCCTGCTTAAGACTTAAATACATTATTCAGACTTTTAAAACCATAGTTAAAAAAATGGTTCTATATTTACTGCCAGTTCTCAAGCCAAGGGCTGAAAGAGAACTGAGAACAAGAGAAGAACTGGCAATAAAGTCTCCATCACTATTTTTAATCGCAAAATATCGATTTTTTTTTTACAAGATTCATAAACACCATTTTGCGACACATGTTGCAGGATTACATCATGTCAACAACAGGCATGCTTACATTACTGTAGGGTTTTTTGAGAATAATATTACAATGTATAATATTCCTACAAGCAATACTTATTGATATATTCCGACCTTTTTGCGTTTTATTTCATAATTTCCTTTGTCCTTGAACGTTTCGCGTCCTCGGAGTTCAAGGACACTTTAATGGCCACGTTTCATGGCCAACAGAAGTCGCTGGTAATTACCCGTCGAGGACACGTTTTGGCTAAGCCCTAACATCAATCTGAAATAAAGAACATTGTTCTCTATTAATTTGGGGTGTGTTTTGGTTTTTCTTTTGTTTCTTTTTTATTCTATGTGATATTGATGTTTGATTGTGTTTTGTTTTTTCTTTTGTTTAATTTTTATACGTTTGTAGGATAGTAGTCATTTGTTTAGAACAGAAAAAAATCCATTGAGAATTTTATCTGTTAACATACAATAAATCGAAACGAGTATTATATGACACAGCCATTAGATGTAATTGTTTTCAGTTTGGGCCCTGATTTGTGAAATATGACGTAGCAAAGATAAATTGCGGAAAATGAAACCGCTAATTTAAAAAAAAAAATTAAACAACTAAATGTTTGACAACATATATGGAAATAAGATGTACCACGTGATGAAATAAGCTTTCAAATTAGTTACATAACTTCGCATCAGAGTTTGGGGTAAGCACATTTTGTATCTGACAGATCAGACATCTCACTCTAAAGAATTATATTTCGCCAAGTATTGAACGCAGGACCCTTAAATACGCCATATGCGTTCACCGCAAAGGTATGAAAGTACATAATAGTATAACTGCGTAATTTACTATTATATTACAGAAGAAATAAATTAATTTCTTACAAAAATATAGGTCGATTTGAATTTATGTTTTTTTTAATAAATAATATATATATATATATTGTTCCTGCATCAGGGTGATACATTTTATTAATTTCAACAGTCCAATTTTTTATAAATTCAATCTCAAAATGAAACTATATTCCTAGAAAGTAGACGGCAGTCCTTAACTCTCGGACTTCGATAGTCACCTATAGAAATATCTATTTATTTTTAAAATACACCAAAAATAATACATATAACTAATTCAGTACATTCGTAAGACCGGACATACCGGAAGTGCACCTACGAATCTTATCTCGATGCATTAAACGTAATAATGTTATTTATAAACAAAACACGAATATTTTTTCGCTGTTTCAGCGCAGCGCCGCAGTGGTGAGCACTTAGCAGACAGCGTAATACTTTCCTTTCATCAAAGAATATCATATTACGTAGATGCGATGTTTATTACTTTTGAGCATTAAGTTAGAGAGGATAAGTAACTATTCTCGAATTAATGATACAAATTACTATGGTCTAAATAAAATGCAAGTAGTCATTATTATGTAGCTGGAAAATAAAGTAAACTAACAAGAAACTAAAAACGTTAAATAAACATTAAAATTATGTTAATCTTTGCTAACTGAACTTTTTTAAAAACTGTTAAAAATAAAAAAATAATAAAAAAAATCTGGTTTAAGATAATGTAACTGAGCTATCACTGCTCGGCAAGGTTCCAGTAATACATATAACATTGTGAGGAGTTTTTAAATAGCCATACATATTTTTGTGTCTATTACAATTATATTTCTAGCCAAATAGGTGATCGGGCTGCTTTGCGCGTCAGTCACCACAATATTTTCCTTGCATGAGCAATTGCAAATTATGTACATAACAAGAAAAATCCATTGGTGGGATTTCACATATCAACCTTACCCTTGAAATATTCTAAAGACCACATATTACCCTTAATTCGGTTGCGCATCTGTTCTAATCTTTGACCCATATACAGCTAAAGTCTCAGTGCGCCGCCGATAGCGGTCGGAGACGCACGGTTTCGTGTCACGGTCTCTGAAACCGATCAATAGTCGTCCTAGCATATACTTATATTTCTTTGTTTTCGTGTGCTACTGGTGAATGTTTACGGTTGGTTTTGGTGAAGCAAAAAACTCTGTGATTAGATATGTGATGATATATATTGCTTAGTGATAGTTGCATTCGTTATAGAAAAGTATTAGTGGATCACATTTGCATATTTCCAAAATTATCGGGGTCAATCTCGTTGATAT